GTAATTTTACGTTTTGTGAGATTAGCGATGCATAGCAATTCACTTTAATTTGAGAATATTAGGTATGGAAAGATATTTGGTGGTTGAAGGTTTGGATGGGGTTCATAATTAAGTGAGAGCTGATATATGATTATCCAAATTTTTACCTGCTGTGGAAGCCATGTTTTTTAACATGAGGTTTGAGATTCGCAGAATTTAGCGATAGCTGAGAACTGAGAAATTAAGCATCTACCATTTATTATATAATAAGTCAGATTATTCTCGCTACTGGAGGACAGATGTATAGAAGACGTCATTGACTTTTTGGTTTTCTTTTTTTTCTAATGTAAAACAGATAGAATTCACGTTGCCGTGCGTCTGTTCTGTAATAGATCACAGAAGACGTCAAAATGTGGTAAGAACATCAGTGACACACTCGGCTATCGCGCTTTGTGTGCTACTTTTACTATTACTGAAAAGTCGCACGGCAACATGGAATCTATTTGTTAAACTGACACCCACATCATTGCAGATCCTCTAGGTTGTTTAGCGACGTAGACGCCTCGCAAGTCTTCGAAGAGCTATATGGAAGATTAATGGCGTAAACTTTACTTTTTAAGCATTCGATCGAAATCATTGAATGATTTCGATCGAATGCTTGACAGCAATTCGCAAAGACTGAGCTCAGCACTTCTGAGGAATTATATCATTTTTACACCGAAAATGTTGCGAAAGCTGGCCATAAAACTAACGGTTAAGATCCGCAGTCTCTCTTGGCTTCAACATTCATTCGACTTCAAAACTTAAAGGGCTCTTAATAAATATAAATTAAGCACACAAAAGTTTGTTCCCGCATTAGATCACAACTGATTTTTAGCACTGATCTAACCCGTCTCTGGTGGGTGATAGCTGATGGCCGGTGATAGAAGTTGTCGACAACGTTTTCCTTCGTCTGTTGAGTCCTAAGTTGCATGAATTGCAATCGAACGATTACACAGTTCAACTGTTGCCTTCGAAACACCCACGTGCCAAAAATCGGTTGAGCGATTCATGCTAAAGATAGATGTTAAATGGATAAAATTAGTCGTTCAAGGCTTACATCTTGAATAGATCCTGTATTTCCCTTGAGCTTGTATTTGCCTCAAAACATGCATCTTCTTCTTCGATCTGATATGGAGTTTTTCTTTGCGCCCTCTCAAATGCAGTTTGAAACAGAAGAAAGGCGTCGTAAATGGCATCCGAATACAAGGTATCATCGAGGTTCACTTCTCTCTTTCTTGCGTTTATTTTAATCAAGCCAGCGGGAAGAACATCAAGATGTGATATTCCGTATTCTGTTATGTGAGTTAAAATCCATATTGTGCCAGTCGCATTGAACTTTTTCATTGCTCGAAACAAAGGCTCATTGTCTTTATCCCTGCTGTGTACGACGACAACATCGCTTTGTTGTGAAATAATAGACTTTATCTCGGTTTCTATTGAGAGCGAGCTACTTCCAGCAAGCCAGAATATCTCTTTAATCAACCATTTCTCGTCTTTTGCCATTCGTGCCATCGAGTCAGCAAGCGCTTCTCCGTCGGAGTCAGCGGATAATACCAAGCAGAGACTGCTCCTCTCTATCTTTTTCATGAATTCCCAAATGACTTGTGCGTAATAATTTATCGAGGGTACGGCGACTCTTGTAAAATCAGCAGGGCTCTCCTGGAAAATGATGGAGGAGAAATTTAAATTAAAAAAAATAATTATAACAAGCTAGATATCAGATTTTCAATGTGTGAGGTTCTTACCTGCTCACACAAAAATTCATGAAAGTCTTTAAGTTCATCTTGTCATACGAGTTGACAAGGCCCCTTCTTTTAATTAAGCTGAAATATTCCAAGTGTCCATAATGAGATACAGTTCACCAGTTGCACGAGTTGTTTCAGTATTGTACGAGTTGACATCGCCCCTACCTTAAACTTGGGCTGATATATTTTGAGTGTCTTTAAGGAGGTGCAAAGTACTATGCAATACCTTATCTTATCTCACTGAAAAGTACCATATCCACCACTTGAACCAATCGTGGAAACGGTGAGCCTAATTTTACGACTCGTCCGAGTCTTACCACTTGAACGACTTGAATCATGGCCTTCAGGACTTGATCAAGTGGTCATGACTGGTGGGTATTGGACAACCCACTGTCCAATAAGGCTTTCCTGACAGTCGCTTGCGCACTGAAGTGATAGCGAAGTCGAGTTATTCGAGAGTTAGAAGGTGAAACGAATTCCTCATTCAGTGATTCGTTTTTCATCATCAATATTTGTCATTTGTTCTTTTAATTTCTGAGGCAAGTACGCAACACCTGACCGAAGAAATCATCCAAATGAGGCGATATTTGCACGAACGTCTCCATATTAAGTGTTTATGACTACGGACATTTTATACAGAAGCTAATTATAACAGAGCATTTCACGAAGGAGTTCGTTTAAACAGGCACTGACGAAAAAGAAGACATTGCGAATCGCAAAAGTTGATAAGCCATATGAGTTTTGAAATGATAAAAACGTTGCCGGAATAACGAGGAAACTTAACTCAGCTCAATTCAGTATATTTAGTCAGACACTAATTATTTAAGTATTTGCCACACGTTAGTCTTTTGAAATTTTGTGAGACTTCTATCAGAGCTAAATTTTAATTTTCCCCCTATTTTTATTGTTTGTTTCGCATTATATTTATTCGTTCAAAACACACTTTTTTCAGCATAAGCTCGAACCTTCACATTTTGTCGGACACTTGATAGCGGACAGTGATGTTTTGTCGATATTTAGGCATTGTTTGCTGTTTTCGCTTGTTTTGATATTGACGAGAAAGCAGTGTTTATCCCGATAATCAATTGAATGGTTTGTTTTTAAGCATGAATGGTCGCGTGATGAGCAGTGGCACAACGACATCCTGACATGATATTTCCGGAAATCAAAATGGCTTAAGAACAACTATTCAGTTTACCCTAGTTTAAAGGAGCTTCACATTTAAATTCATTTGTATAATCCAACGTGGGCAAAAAATGATTAGGTTTTTATACATGGCTTATCAATGGCTAGCAATTAATGGAACAGTGCGTAACAAGGTAGGACATAACAGTGCATAATTAGCGCCATATTGTAATTGATTCAGTTGATTTTGTTCATGAAAAACATTATATTTTCTTTGTCATATAATTCTTACAGGTTTAGAGTTTAGATCATAGACCTCCCTAAAATAATGAAATAAATAGGTTATTTCAAAAAAACCCGGCTGGATTTCTGAAATGAGACATGTTATAATTTTACAGTTGATTATTTTATGGACATTCTAAGCTTGCGGTAACCAGTTTGCGGTCGAGGTCGATCTTACTGTTAACCTTTTTGGCACAAAAAAAATGGCCAAACGAAAATGAGAGGTGACAAAAATGGTTTCTGGTGCAAGAACGTTCCTTTTTCGCGAAGCAGAATTGTTGTATTAAAAGCGTAACCATCGAAATTAAAAAAATATGTTTATATTGAATATGGACATGTTTCTGCTTTGCACAGTGTTTTACGCACGTCAGTAATCCAGAAACCTTGAAATCAACCACATTAAAAACATGTGCTACTCACACCCCGAAAAAACACCTGCGAAGGAATAGTAACTGAATTAGACTGTCCAGCAGATCTAAAAAATATATCTAATACAAGAAAGTGTATTTTACTCAAGGCCGCTGGCTCGATAGTGTTGTTCTTCTTGATATTAAGCATATTTTTAATTCATTTATTTTCACCTTAACGTACCTGTGTTCTGAGTTGTTCGCTTCTCTGGAAGACACCAATAGTTGGAATCCCCGATCGTTCCAAAAGAGACGAGAGAAATGTAGAATCACTGTTGATATCCACAAAAATTGCACCTTGAATTTTCGATGAGATATTCCAGACAACGGAAAGCGAGTCATTTAAACCAATCTGACTACGTCCTGAGTTGGTCATATCTTGCCACCATGGATTATCGTAAAACGTTAAATTTTCGTTCAGCAAATTATTTTCCCGTTGGTTGACAAGAAAGTTTTCTTTTGAGTTTTGTACAATGCTGTGTAGGAAGCGATCAGAAGCGTTGAAAAAAATTGCAATGTTTATACTAATTTCCCCATCTGCACGATCTGTTACAGCAATACTAATTTTTCGCTGAATTCCCAGCAAGAAGAAAACAAGAATACTGCCACAAAAAGCCATTGCAAAACCGCGTCCAAAAAAAACCCAGTGAATTGCCTCAAAGGTATTTCGTGTCTCATCAATAACTGTGAATTAAAACTCTTCTCCCCGGTAAAGTCACAGACTTCATCTCATTTCCGATGCAATATATATAATTACGTTTTCACGAAAAAACATTATGACATGAATTTTAATGTAAATAAAGGAAAACCTGCCCGTTGCCTGGCTGGTAAAGATAGAAGGTTTGAAACAATGACTTCAATGGGAACGCAAACAATACAAACTTTTATTGAAATGGTAGGAAAAGCGTTTTTTAATACCTCTGGAATTCACCACTAGAATTACAAAAAAGAAGAAGAGCCTCTTGCTGTCTTACTGACATACAAATGTATGCAAAATATGCACGATGTACATGTCATAAAATTCTTTGACATAATGACACTTGATTAAAATAAGAATCGCAAAAATACAGTTTTGCGGCACCAGTTCACGACTGTCAGATTCATTTTCCTGGGTGACAGAAGAAAAAATAAAAAACAGACAAAAAAAATTGAGAAAAAAAAAGGGATATATACCGCGAGCATATGCCCTTGGCATTAAACCTCACTGAATAATTTCATTGCGTTTCTCGCAAAGTACTCTCGTTGCCATGCAGATTGATTCCCACGCCAAATTCGATCGGGAAGAAAGTTTTCGTTACCTGATGAAAGCATCATAATATAGGTTCCTACGGCTTCAAAATTTAACAATTTCAAGTTATAGTTTCGTACATAATGCATTATCAAGGCTTTTTGTTTACAGACAAGCAGATCGTTTTTATGGTGCATTCAAATTCAAATTTGACTAGCTGTAACTTCCACTGAAAATAACAAACTCAGTTGCCATAGAGCGTGTTAATGTTTATGACATCAACAAGCACTGGAACAAATTAAAAACAGTAGCCTCACAGTAGCATTTGAGACATTTGGAATATTCGATCTTCATTCGGTTCCGAGGACTGAAAAATTTTTCGTTAGCATATTAACATAAGAAATAAATATGTGTGTGCAAAATAATTGTTTTGAATAATAAATATCGATTCATTTTTTCTACAAAGATCGTTACATGGAACGTTTTTGCATTCACTTCGCTATAGCTAAAGAAGTCTATATCTCCGAAGGAACATTGTCAATATTTAAGGACGCCTGAGCCTTTCGGCACAATATTATATTGTTTCACCTCTCGCAAACATTTATGTGATTCTGGGTTAACACAGAATTATCACATAATTACATGTCACAACGTCACATACTATNACTTCCATTGAAAATAACAAACTCAGTTGCCATAGAGCGTGTTAATGTTTGTGACATCAACAAGCACTTGGACAAATTAAAAACAGTAGCCTCACAGTAGCATTTGAGACATTTGGAATATTCGATCTTCATTCGGTTTCGAGGACTGAAAAATTCTTCGTTAGCATATTAACATGTGTGTTAAAGAAATAAATATGTGTGTGCAAAATAATTGTTTTGAATAATAAATGTTGATTCATTTTTTCTGCAAAGATCGTTACATGCAACGTTTTTGCATTCACTTCGCTATAGCTAAAGAATTCTATATCTCCGAAGGAACATTGTCAATACTTAAGGACGCCTGAGCCTTTCGGCACAATATTATATTGTTTCACCTCTCGCAAACATTTATGTGATTCTGGGTTAACATAGAATTATCACATAATTACATGTCACAACGTCACATACTATCAAATTCGTTCCAAACATGTGGAAAGTTGTCGCAAGCACGTGATTTTCTACGCGCTTGAAATTGTAAAATCTCCTTTACATGCTTTCTTTGCAAACAAAATTATTTTCTTGTTGTAAATCGTATTAATTTAGGAATCATGAAAAGGACATTTGCAGCTTTAAAATACCTTCATGTGTTTAGACAATTTAATCGGTTTTCATGCGCAAGAAAAACTATTTTCTCTGAATTTGTTTCCTTGATGAAATCAAAATAAGAAATGGTAGCTGATATTTACGTCTGCTTTCTTGGAGATATATGAATTAACAGTTTTAAGGCCTTATGTCAGTCTGAAATTGACGTTTTTGTATAAATTATACCAGAAAAAGAGACGAATTAACGTCTTTTAAGAAGGTCTATTATTTTGAAGTCAATTTTCTCAACAAAAACTATTATCAGAAAATTCAAAGTACATTTGCAGCTGTCTAGCTGTGACTAAACGATCGCGAGTTAATTAACGGCTTTCAAGGAAGCCTATTTATTTGAGATTGATTCTGTTTTCGTAAATTACAGTGAAAAGGACTCAAACTATAGTTGCCACTCGCGAACTTCTTATGGTTGGACGAATTAGCAGTCTTTAACAATCCAAGGCCTTTTACTCTGTGATTTTGTTCGGCTGATTGCATGAAATGAACTTGTTTTATTAATGACGTTATTATGTTATTACTTGTCTCCACCCCATATCTTAATTAATCTGCAAAAACGTTAACTTTCTAACGAGTCCCTCTAATTGTTTACAGCTTTTATGTTTGAAAGACCAAAGTAAATAAACGAACTCTGCTAGTCTTTAGTCAACAGCACAACATCAGTAACAGGAGGCTTCATCTAACCCTCCTCTCCCATTGTCATGATAACAC